CGCTGCTCAGCTCCGGATGCGAGCAGGCGGGGCGTTGAGTTCCTCTCTTCTACCTTTGGGTTCCCGTTGGAAAGTGCAGGAGAGCAGAGCGCAGAGAGCTCCCCTGCAGGCCGTTGTGCTTGCAGAGCATCTCGGAGCTTGCAAAGGAAAGATGCTCTCATTGCCATCCAGCATCGCAGGGTGAATAAAGCCCCGCGGTTTGGGGCAAGAGCGGGGACAGCAGCTGCCCTGCGTTGTGTTTGCACGGCCACACCTCATCCACAAACTGCCGTGTGCAAACTGGTTGTGCAGCTTTAGCACACAGCTCTGCCCGCCCCTCTTTGGCACCGGCTGCTTCCTGGGCACAGCGTGGTGGATCCCGTGCCTTGAGATCAGCTGGGAGCTCCATTCGTGGGCTTTGGGAAGCAGCCGGGATGGGAACAGGTGAGAAAACCCACAGCTGTGGGGTTGGGATGGTGTGGGAGTCACTGCAGTGCTGGCAGGATGGTCGTGCAGTGCCCCAGAAAGGTTCTTAACCCGTGGAGCTGTGCACACGTTGCACAGTAGGGCGCTCAAACAGCAAACAGAAAAGGATCAAAACACATTTTCCATCCGTTTCCCAGCACCCAGGCGAGGAGGAAAGGACAGGGAGGAAAACAAGCATGAAAAGCACTGCGGGATGGTTTGCCTGGCGCTGCCCCAGCACCGCTCCCTGTGCCAGCTTCTGTCCCCTGGCACCGCCTGCTGTCCACCCATTGGGGTTCTGTGGGCTTTGGATTGGATTTGGTGGCACTTGTGCCCCACTGTTTCCATCCGTGCCACTGCCACCCATCCGACACAGCTTTCAATGCCATCCTAACGCATTTGCTTTTTGCACTGCAGACAGCAGCAGGCTGCTGGGGAGCCCACGGCCGGGCTACGGGACGCTGCAGCACGACACAGACACATCCTGCATGGTACGTACAGAGCTTTGGGTGAAGGGGAACCCGTTTGTGAGCAGGCAGAGCATCCTGCTTGGAAGGAAATTGCATAAGTGAGTGCATGTTGGTGTTCCTGCAGGAGGTGACGGGGTACCGCAGCCAGACGTGGCGCACGGCCCTGTGCCATGTGTGCTGTGTGCTGAGCGCTGGGCTGCTGCTGCTGCTCTTCCACTGGAGACCCAGCCTGCACGTACGGGCCAGGTGCAAGCCTTGTGCCTTGGGGCAGGCAGATTGGGTCATCATTCGGGTGAGCACCACAGGGGGGGGTTATGAGTGGGATGGGGTTCCCTGCTTGCATCCATTGGGACGCTGTGTGTGTTTGCAGGATCGATTTGGGCAGTGCTTCACTGCACGCGTGCAGACGGAGATGCTGGGTGAGGGCAGGTGAGCGAAACTCGTGTTGAATGGGTGGGAAGTGGGAGGGAGAGGGGGGGGGGGTTGGTGTTTGTAGAGATTGAGGTCTGTTCTGTGCCCTGAGCAGCCTGGAGCATCACCACGGGGCCAGGCTGGAGGACCGCAAGAGCAGCATCGCTGTTGGCATGGCAGATGAGGAGGAGAGCCTGGACACCATCCGCCTGCACCAGGAGGAGGTGATGCCCACAGCCCCCCTCCCTGCTCCCCTGTGCCCCTCACAGCCCTTTAAAAGCCCCCCGATCTCTGCTCAGCACAACGTCCTGCGCTATTATCTCTTCGAGGGGCTGCGCTACGTCTGGATGGAGAGGAGGCAGGCGTACTGCAGGGTCAGGTACTCCTCTTCCCCAAAAAAACAATCCTGATCCGTCTGCTGCTCGTGCACCCACACCACGGCCTCTCTGCGTGTTGCAGAGCCTTCACAAATCCTTGCACTGTGCCCCTTTTGTTCCTGCTCCCAGCCTTGGCTGAGCACGCGGAACAAGATGCTCTCTCTTTCCCAAAGGGTTTTTGTTGACGTGGACGTGCTGTGTGTTCTGCTGTGCTCCCAGTGATTCTGAATCTGTTTCTCTTCCTTCTCTTCCCCCCTTCCCTTGCTCCCAGCGCCTTGGATGAAGGCTGGACCTGTGCAGAGCTCCACCTCTGTCGGGCTGGGCTGGGCCAGCAGGACCACAGCTCCAGGTGGGCATGCAGAGCATTGGTAGGAAACAGCAATGACAGCAATCAGGGGTGGTTTTTTTTTTTTTGCATTTCATCTCTAAGTCTGAGCCTGGAGCTCAGTTACAAGGCCTGATATACCGTTACATGGTCATTTGAATACCTTCCATCTTTACCATACAGAAGAAAGATCTACGGCCCAAACCTCATCGAGGTGCCTGTCAAGTCCTATGCCAAGCTCCTGGTGGAGGAGGTGAGCACCCATGGGAGGACTGCAGACCCAGGAGCATCCCCAGTTGGCTGCAGAGCATCCTCTGCTATCCTGACCATAAACCTCTCTGCAGGTGCTCAATCCCTTCTACATCTTCCAAGTGCTCAGCATTGTGCTGTGGGTCTGTGATGCCTACTATTACTATGCTGCCTGCATCTTCCTCATCTCCACCATCTCCCTGGGGCTGTCCCTCTACGAGACAAGAAAGGTTGGTGGTTGGACCTTGGGAAATGCTTCACAAAGCCCGTCCTGTGTTGGGATCTGGCTTCCTGGGGGCTTTATAGGGATCTGGCTTAGTGGAATAACCCTTTTCTGAAGCCAGCTGGCTGAGTGTGCATTGAGAAGGCTTCATGAAGCCATGGAATCATTAAGGTTGGATAAGACCCCTAAGATCATCCAGTCCAACTCTCTGTTCATCCTCACTATGCCTACCAACCCACATCCCCACGCTGAACACCTCCAAGGATGGTGATTCCACCACCTCCTTGGGCAGCCTGCTCCAATGCATCACCAGTCCTTTAGACCACATCCCACGTATGGTCCCCAGCCTGGTGCACTCATGACCGAGGTGCTTTACTTTGCTTTTTGAGCTGCTTCTGGCTCCCCCTAACAGCTCCCTCCCTTGCAGCAAAGCACCACGCTGCGCAACATGGCCAGGATGTCCATCAGCATCCGAGTGCGCCGTGCCGACGGAGGTGAGCGTGATGCCTGTGATGAGCACAGGGACCAACCCCACCTCATGGAGACGTGCTTGGCTTTTCCTGCTGGGAGCACCCCAGTGGGCTCAGATGGGTGGTGGATGGAACAGCGTTGGGGTGGTTTGGGCTCTGGGTGCAAAGGAAGGCTGCTGTCCCAGCAGAGGAGGCGATGGTGAGCTCAGCAGAGCTGGTGCCTGGGGACTGCATCAGCCTGCCCTTGGATGGAGTGCTGGTCCCCTGCGATGCTGCACTGCTGACAGGCGAGTGCATGGTCAACGAGAGCATGCTGACGGGTGAGAGCATCCCGGTGAACCCTTCCATCCTTGCATCCACGCTCTGGTGATGAATTAGCAATGCTCATCACCTCTGGGTTTTTTCCTGCAGGGGAAAGCGTGCCGGTGCTGAAGACGCCTCTCCCCGATGGTGGAGGGGCTGCAGGCACCATCTACAGCCCCAAGGAGCATCAGAGGCACACGCTGTTCTGTGGGACACACATCATCCAGGCCAGGTCCTACGTGGGGCAGGAGGTGCTGGCTGTTGTCACCCGTACAGGTAGCACCGTGCGGTCACCATTGGAGTGCTGGCTTTAAGCACATGCTGAGGTCCTCCTGCTCTTATCCCATAGGGTTTTGCACAGCCAAAGGTGACCTGATCAGCTCCATTCTCTACCCCAAACCCGTGACCTTCAAGTTCTACAAGGATGCTGTGAAGTTTGTGCTGTTCCTCGCTGTGCTGGGTAGGGAGGCATTGCCTGGAGCAGCCGAGCTCCTCATTGTGGTAGAATCCCCATCTCTGCTTGGCTTTGTACCACAACCCATTTTTTTTTTCCTCTCTGCGCAGCTTTTATCGGCACGCTGTACAGCATCCTCATCATGATGAAAAACCAGGTAGGGGGGAAAGCCACCAACCATAAAGATCCATCAACTGAAGCTATCAGGATGCTCACCCCGTTTACGCACCTCGCCTGCCAGGTTCCCGTGGGGCAAATCATCATCCGTGCCCTCGACCTGATCACTGTCATTGTGCCGCCAGCTCTCCCAGCTGCCATGACCGTGGGCTCCATCTACGCCCAGAACAGGCTGAAGAAACGTGGCATCTTCTGCATCAGGTTGGATTTTAGGAACAATTTCTTCTCTGAAAGAACGGTGGTGCAATGGTACGGGTGGCCCGGGGGGGGGGTGGTGGTGGGGGTCACCATCCCTGGAGATGTGACACTGAGGGATGTGGTCAGCGTGGGGTGGGTTTGGGTTGGACTGGATGATCTTAGTGGTCTTTTCCAATGTTAATAATCCTGTGGTTCTACGCTCAGCCCTCCCCGCATCAACCTGTGTGGGAAGATCCGCTTGGTGTGCTTTGACAAGGTGAGTGTTTGGGGTGGCTTCACGCCTTGGCTCCCAGCTTGGAGCCGCTCCTGCCCTACTGTGCTCATCCTACAGACGGGGACCCTGACAGAGGAAGGGTTGGATGTATGGGGGGTGATCTCCCTGGAGGACAAACGCTTCATGCCCATCATCCACGAGCCGCGCCGTCTGCCTGCCGGCCCCTTGCTCCATGCCCTGGCCGCCTGCCACAGCATCACACTGCTGCAGGGACAGCCTGTTGGGGACCCCGTGGACCTTAAGATGATGGAATCCACTGGATGGGTAAGGGGAGCGGTGGGACTGGTGTGGAGAGGGTGGTGCAATGCTTTCTGCTTGTGCGTTGCTTCCAGCGCCTGGAGATGGCTGAGGAGGATGAAGGGGAGCTGCCTGGCTTGCAGTGCTTTGGGACAAAAGTCTTGGCCGTGATGAACCCTCCACCTGAGGAAGAACAGCCACCAGGCAGGGTGAGCACCTTGCAGCATCCATTGGGGAGGTCCTGGTCGGATATTAGGCAAAATGTGATTTCCAAAGGAATGGTGATGGGCTGCCGCAGCTGCACAGGGGGGTGGGGGGGTCACCTGGAGGTGTTAAGAGCCACGGAGATGCTGCTCTGAGAAACACAGTAGGCATGGTGGGAGTGGGCTAGCAATTGGGCTTGTTGACCTTAGAGGTCTTTTCCAACCTTAATGATTCTGGCATGCTTTAAATGGGTGCGTTGGAGATGGTTTGGTTGGACTCAGTGATCTCAGAGGTCTTCTCCAACCTGAACGATTCTGCCATGGTTTAATTGGTTCCCTGGGGTCGGTTTGCTGGTCAGACTCAGTGATCTCAGAGGTCTTTTCCAACCTGAATGATAATATGATGCCATAAATGGGTGCGTTGGGGTTGGTTTGATGGTTGGACCCAATGGTCTCATAGACCTTCTCCAACCTGAACGATTCTGTTGTGCTATAAATGGATGTGTTAGGGTTGGTTTGATGGTTGGACCCAATGGTCTCAGAGACCTTCTCCAACCTGAACGATTCTGTTATGCTATAAATGGATGTGTTAGGGTTGGTTTGATGGTTGGACTCCATGGTCTCAGAGACCTTCTCCAACCTGAACGATTCTGTTATGCTATAACTGAGTGCGTTGGGGATGGTTTGATGGTTGGACTCGATGCTCTCAGAGGTTTTCTCTGACCTCAATGGTTCAATGATTCTGTGCCCGGGTTGCATCCCTGGATGCTGTGCTTCATACCCCTGGGTTGCCACGTCTTCCAGAAGCACCGCTCTCCCATGGGCATCCTGCGCCGCTTCCCCTTCTCCTCCTCCTTACAACGCATGAGCGTCCTCGCAAAGCTGCCCGGCGACGACGCAACCTGGCTCTACATCAAAGGAGCTCCAGAGGTGGTGGCCAGCCTCTGCAGCACGGAGACGGGTGCGTTCCCACACTGCCATCCTATCCCCGTGCCTTTGGGAGCTGTTGGGAGCCCGCTGTCCCCGCGGCAGTGCCCGCGGATTTCTCCCAGGTGCTGCGGCGTTACACCGCCGATGGTTTCCGCGTGCTGGCGTTGGCTTGCAGACCCATGAGCACAGTGAGGAGCTTTGAGGATGCCCTGCAGCTGACGAGGTGGGTGCATGCTGCTTTGGCTTTAGATCCCATTTGGTTTTTGGTGTGTGGTTTTGGAGGTGGTGCCACGCAGCTCGCTGTGCCCGACAGGGATGTGGCAGAGTGCAGCTTGACCTTCCTGGGCTTCTTGGTGATGAAGAACGTCCTCAAGATGGAATCAGCACCCGTGATCACACTGCTGAGGAACGCTGGCGTGCGTCCCGTCATGGTGACAGGTGGCACTGCAACGGGGGGACAGGGCTGGGGAAGGGGGGCAAGGATTGGCCGTGGGGCTGCATGAGGGCTGCAGGGCTCTGACAGCATGGGTCAGTGGTGAGGATCCACTGGGAGGTGGGGTTAGGGCTGGGGTTGGGGCTATGGGGTTAAGAGTTATGAGGCTGTAGGTTAGGGGTCACGGGTTTGGGTTCTGGGCTTAGAGGCTGAGGTTAGAATCATAGAATCATAGGGGTTGGAAGGGACCTCCAGAGATCATCGAGTCCAACTCCCCAGGGGGGTTCATTAGGGATCCCTTAATCATTAGGGATTATGAGCTAGAGTTAGGTGCTAGGGTTAGAGGCTGGGGTTGGGGTTAAGGGTTATTAGGAATCCCAGACTGTATTTTGTATGCATTCCCATGATTTGTGTGCATCGTGTCCCTTTTGTGTGCCTTGCTGGTGGGTTTGGAGAGCCTGGGAGGTTTTGGCTGCTTCTGTAACCAACACCCTTAGAGCTGGGGTGAGCAAGTTGAGCAGCAAAACCCCTGTTACGCCACTGTTATACCATCAACAGCATGAAAGTCTGTATCCAGTCAGCACTTTGATATACACTGCCTGCACAGTGCCCTGGGGATGGGTTCCAGCAAAGCCAGCAGAGCTCTAAACACCGTGCCAGCCTAAGTTTGGTTGCTCCATGGCTGCTACACCATTACTTCCATCACCGCCTGCAGGAGACAACATGCTGACAGCTGTGAACGTGGCCAGGAGCTGCTGCATGGTGGGACCAAGTGAGAGGGTTGTCTTTGTCACCGCTTCGCCACCCGGCCGTGACCAGCCTGCATCTCTCAAGTTCATCCCTGCAGAGCTCTCGCAGGGCGAGAAGCAGCCGGAGGTGAGCTGAGAAGCAGTCCCAAAAACGTGTTGCTTCTCCAGGAGCGTGCTGACGGGTTGCTCTGCCTGCTGCAGGATGGACAGCAGTGGGATGGCCGCCTGCACCTGGCGCTGAATGGCAAATCCTTCGCCGTGCTGCAGGAGCATTTTGCTGACCTGCTGCCCAAGGTGCGTCCCATCCCCATCCCCATCCCACCTGTGGGGTGTTGGTCACTGGGACTGAGCCATCCCCTCCTTGCAGATTCTTGTCCAAGCCACTGTGTTTGCCCGCATGTCACCCGAGCAGAAGACTCAGCTGGTGTGCAGCCTGCAGGAGCTCGAGTGAGTGCCCCATCCCTGAGGGTTGGGGGACAGTGGGGACACTTGGGCCATTTCCTGGGCACTGGAGGTTTTCTCAGTGTGCTGATGACATCCCGCCCTTTCCCCAAGCATCCTAAACACCGAGGCTTGACCTGGAAGTCCTCAAATCCCACTGTGTCACTGTTACGAATCCACCTTTTCTGCTTCTCCCCCAGCTACTGCGTGGGGATGTGTGGGGATGGGGCCAATGACTGCGGGGCACTGAAGGCAGCTGATGTGGGCATTTCCCTTTCGGAGGCTGAAGCATCCGTGGCATCACCCTTCACCTCCTGCCACGCCAACATTGAGTGTGTGCCCACGGTCATCCGGTGAGGGGAGAACCCACGGGGGGTTCTCAGCACCTCCATCCCCTCTTTGGGATGGGGTTTGTGGCAGGGCTGTGTTGTGCTGATGGTGGTTCTGCCTGCAGGGAAGGAAGGTGCTCGCTGGTCACCTCCTTTGGGGTCTTTAAGTACATGGCCCTGTACAGCCTGGTGCAGTTTGTGTCCGTGCTGCTGCTCTACACGGTGAGTCCATCTGTCTTGGGGATGGGATGCATCAGCAGGGCCTTGGGAGGTGGGGGAGGACCACTCTGCATCCATCAGCAATACCCAGGGATGCCTGGGCCTTCCCTACTTCTGATTTTTATCACACCACATGACCCTCTCCATAGTTGAAGGCATTCCGTTTCTTCCTCCCAGATCAACACCAACCTGAGTGACTTCCAGTTTCTCTTCTTCGACCTGATCATCACCACCACTGTGGCTGTGCTGATGGGCCGCACGGGTCCTGCCAGGGAGCTGGGAGTGCGTCGGCCCCAAGGGGCACTGATCAGCATCCCAGTGCTGGGCAGCCTGCTCCTGCAGACCACTCTGCTCATCACTGTGCAAGTCCTCAGCTACTTCATCACTGTTTCACAGAGCTGGTACGGGACCTGGCGCTGTGGGTTTGGCCATGGGGATGTCGTTGGCCAAAGTCAGCTTGGATGATGCCGGCCAAAGCCAATGGAGTTGGCGTTAAAAGTCAACTTCAGTCATCACACCGATCCTTTGTGTTTATTCTTTAGGTACGTGCCACTGAACAGCACAGTGACAGCTCCCCAAAACCTGCCCAACTATGAGAACACGGTCCTCTTCTGCATCACTGGCTTCCAGTACCTCATTTTGGCTGTTGCCATGTCCAAGGGGTACCCATTTCGGGAGCCACTCTACACCAATGGTGAGGCCATGAGCAAGGGGAGACCCCAACCCTGCAGCTCCTTTCCCCCAACCCTGCAGCTCCTTTCCCCCAACCCTGCAGCTCCTGCCCCAACCCTCTTCTTTCTCGCCCTCAGTGCTCTTTCTGATAGTCCTCGTGCTTCTCTTCGGCCTCTTGATATGGTTGACCCTGTACCCTCTGGGTTTCCCCAAAACCCTGCTGAAGCTGCAGGACATCGATGACTTGAACTTCAAGCTGCTGCTGTTGGGAATTGCCACGCTCAATTTCTTCGCTGCCTTTGTGCTGGAGGTGGGTAGCAAAGCATTGCACTCAGGGGAGTTTTAAGATCACCATCCTCATGGATCTATCCAAGAAACCCCCCCAAAACTTGTTTTACTTCTATCTTTGCTGCAGACTGCCCTGGACTACGGATTGCTGGGCTGCTTGCGTAAGCTGCGCCAGAAGAAAGCATCCAGCAAGCTGTTCAAGAGGCTGGAGAAGGATCTGAGCCAGCAGCCATCCTGGCCGCCCCTCAACGAACCACTCTTTGCTACCCCTCGGATGTCCATCGCTGTGAGATAGCACACACCAAACTTCACTCCTCCCTGCTCTGCAGGGGAGCACCGCACTCCCGTATTTATTTCTCCTGGTCCCACCGAGGGCAGCTGGTGCCTGGCTCCGTGTCCATCCCATGGGATGCAGCATGCAGATGAAAACGGTCCCATCTTCCCAATGGGGAGACCCTCAGCCTCACAGCCACGAAGCCATGTGCTCCAGAAGCCACACGCTTGGTCCTATGGCCCCAAAAGAAGTGGTGGGAGATGCTAGAGACGAAAACTCGGGGGTCCATCTGGGGGTGCCTTCTGCCTTCTGCCTCCAGCACCAAGCCCTCGTGGCTGGTCAGAGCTGTGAATTTAAAGGGTCCTGCTTGTGCTGCTGTTGGTGGCACCCACTGTGGCCTCAGGGCTCTGCTCACTGTGAAGGAAACCTCCCTCCCTCCCTGCTGGCCACCTCGATGTGTAGGAAATGTTTACAAACCACTCCAGCTTGCCAAGGACGTTCTGAGCCAGCTTTCAGCAGCGAGGGGCTTGGAGAATCCAATGCAGAGCCCAAACCCTTATTGCACCTCATGCATTTTTGCCCTTTGGTCCATCGGAGCAGCTGGAAGGGCATCCATCCACCCCCTTCCAGGTCAGTGGGAGGTTTTGGCATGGGACCTCAGCACACTGGTGATGCTTCTGCATGGCCTTCCAGCTGTGCCAGCAGGAGCTTTGTAGCATTAAAACCCCCTCAAATCTCTATTTTTATTTCTATTTTTAACTCCATTCCAGTGCATAAAGGGGTGGAGCAGGGTGTAGCACTTCTGGATTTCACATGGGTCTGGTGTGAGCACGTCTAATAAATTAATGCTATTTTGGTGAGAACGCCGTGAACCTCTGGGCAGGGGGATGGTGGAGGGAGGGCAGGGGGTCAGGGTGCGATTTGGGGTCATTTTCTTCTCCATTGGGGCTGGAAGATGCTGCAGAAGCAGAGGGAACCACTGGCACCACTGGGATGTCAGAACAGGCAGGAGTTGACTTTGGCCAACGCCATCCCCAGTGTGTTTCCAGCTGGAATTTGCTAGCAAAAAGAAAAAAAAAAAAAGAGAGAAATTAAAAAATATCTATATAATTGCTGGAAAAAAAGAAAAAAAAAAAAACAACCCAGGTGTCCTTGCCAAAATGTCTCTCCGTGCAAAACCGTTCATCGCCCAGCCTGTCTCCCTGCAGCACTGGTGTATGGAAGGCGAAGCCTGCGGCTGGAGGTGCTGTGTCTGGCACGGGGAATGCCAGTCTCTGCAGGTGGGGAAGGGGCAGCAGGGTTGGGGGCTTGGCTGTCTCCAAGCATGGGATGTGGCGAGGCGTGAGCCCCCTCGAGCACAGAGCGGTGCCTCTCTGCCCTCCTGGAGCTAGGGATTAGGTCAGGAAATGAGGCACAAGCAGAGGTAAGAGGTTTCCTGAAATCCTAGCCAGGGCTTGAGCTATTAAAGCAGGCTTCCTGAGCGGAGGGCGGGGGGTGAAGGGGGGGGAGAAACCCGTCGAGAGTTTGCCTCTGCCCTTGCCAAGTGAAAGCGCCTGGTGGCTTGAAAAGCAAAAGGAGGGGGGAAGCGACACGCTGCAGCCCCGACGCAACCCCCAAAGAACCCATCCGTGCCCTCCCAGCATCGCTGACCCCACTGGCACCGTTGGGATTGGAGCCATCCCTTCTGCTCGGCACCGACGTGGAGCTCCTGGGGAGGGGGGGGAACCCATCTCCCAAATTCCCATTGGTGCCATGCTTTGCCCTCCCCCCTCCCCTCCCTACCCCTCCCCCACCTGGCTTTGGGGTTAACAGTGCTGTAAATCATGCCTAATTATGAAGCTGCTGCCCCGGGGACGAGGCTTGGAGGAGGCAGGAGTTCAGTGGGAGGTGTGATCACAACCTCAGATTTAGCCACAATCCAGGTGTTAAGATAGGAAAAAAACAGGCTTGGGGAGCGCCCTGCACCCCCCACTTGCTCTCTCTGGTTTGAAACTGGATTTTCTGCTTGTTTTTAGAGCAGCAGCAGCGCTCACAAAGGAGGAATAGCCCATAGCTATCCCCTTCCCCATTGAGAAATGATGCTGACCCCCCGTGTCTGAGCTCAAAGCCCTCAGCTCCCCTTCCACACCGTTCCATTGCTTTGAATCTCACCTACAATCTTTAGGTTTTGGCCCAGAGCGCTGCAGCTGATGTTGCAGTGGGGTGGGGGGGGTGAGCACAGAGCATGCATTCCTTGGTGTTCCCATCACCCTCCAGCAATGGGAGCATCCCACGCTGCCCTGCTGAGAAAGGGGAAATGGGAGGAAGGGGGGCAGAGGGGAAGGTTTTGCACCCCCCCGGAGTAAAGCTGCACCCAGCAATGGGAGCTGCTGCACCCACCTCCTCCTTCATGTCCCTGGGGAGGGGGGGGGGGGCTCACCCTAAAAATTAAACACTTGCCCCATTTTGCACCCCCACCCCCAATCTGATGTATTTGTGTGTGGGGGGGGAGGGGATTGTTTGGGGTCACCCTTTTTTCCCATCCTCCAACAAGACGAGGTGATTCCTGTGCCCCAAAGTGCCGCTCAGCGCCGCTCGAAGCCTCCCCTCACTTCTACCGTCGGGTTAAAAGCCGAAGGGATTTAAAAACCAAACAAACCAACCCAAAAACCACCCAAAATCCCCAAAGTTTTGCACAGCTCAGCGTGCACCCATTGATTCTTTTTTGGATCATTCCCGTTTCCTCCCCAGCAGGCAGCACATCTCCGGGAGAGGAGGAGGAGGAAGGGAAGGATCAGGTGTCGCTTTAGGACCCAGCGGAGCCCCCATGTTGGAGGTAGGAGCTTTTTTTTCTCTTCCCCCCCCCCCCCCCCCCAACCCCCCCCTTCTCATTTTGGAGTTTTTGAGCCTGGAGAGAAGAAACCAAAGCGTTGGGCAAAGGCGAGAGCAGCTCGGTGCACCCAGAGCGGTAAGGAGCCAGCAGAGCCCCAATCCCACACATCCATCCTCCTCAACCTCTCGATGACGGCCCCAAATGAGGGCCAAAACCCGTTTTTGGGGGGGCTGAAACCCAATTTTTAGGGGGGGAGGGGAGGAGGGGGACACGGAAGATGGGAATCTCACCAATGGCTTTGCCAACGTGCTTGGAGGATTTCCAACGGCAGCCCCCAGGGACGGCCCTTGGAGCTGGCGGTGAGGACGGGTTCCCATCGCTTTTTGGGGGCTCCGCAGCGATGCTTTTGGGGGGGGGGGGGGGCATCTCATCCCAGACAGCTGTGGTGGCGGCTTTGTCACTGCTTCAATCAATCTAAAAATACCCCGAAGTCTGAAGGAAGCTGGATTATTTCCTTTCTTTTTTTTTTTTCTTTTTCTTTTCCTTTTTTTTTTTCCCTCCCCCCCCCCCCCCCCTCTTCTCCTGGAAACTGAAAGGATTTTTTTGCTTTGGTCCGGGTTTTATTTTATTTATATCCAAGGGGCACAGAGGAGGGGGAAATCCTGATGGAAGAGCAGAGCGTGGGGAGGCGTGCAGGGAAAGGGGGGGGGGAAGAGCAGAAAACTTTTGGACTGGACGTTGGGTTTTTGGTTTCTTTCTTTTTTTAATGGTTGGTCCGGGGCCAGGAAATGCGAATCCTTTCAAATTCCCTTTGTTCTCTCACTCTCTGACAACCAGAGCTTTAAAAAAAAAAAAAAAAAAGACCGAAAAAGAAAAGGGGGAAAAAAAAAAAGCTGGGGGAGGAAAGGGGGGGGGGGGGGAAAGGCTGGGGAAGGTGGGGTTTAGCAGAGGGAAAGGCTGTGGTGTTCTTTCTGCAGCCTGATTGTTCCCAGATGTGCATTGCAAAAACATCTGGCCCTGCAGAACCAATAGACCCCCCCCCCCCCCCCCCCCCCTTCTGACCCCCCTCCTGCAGGGCACCCAATGGGGTTTGGTGGAGATGGAGCGGGGTGTTGAGGGCGCTGTGCCCCCAACCCTGTGCCTTCGGGTGGAAAATCCCGATGGTTGGGTGGCTGCTGTTTGAGCGGCTGCCGTGGTTTGCTGCTGAGATGGGATGTGAGGATGTGGTGGTGGCCTTCGTGGAGATGGTGGGGGTGTTGTCATCGTGTTCCCATCGAGGATGCTGACGCCTGGTTCTGTGCGTGGGGCCGGGGAGCGGAAGATCCCTCATGGGAAATTGGAACTAAAAGGAAAGTGGAGCACTGGGTCGTGGTTGATTTGGGGTCCTGACCAGCACCCAGCCCCCCAAGGCTGGAGAAAACCTCCTGGAGCTGCACGTTGATCCTGTTCATCCCTGTGCAATTCCTCCTAGCCAACACCGTGTGCATCTGCTGCTCCCCTGGTGGTGGGAAGCAAGACAGGGCAGGGCTGTGGGGCACAGGACCCGAGGTTCTGGGACTGGGATGGGACCCCCATTGGGACCCCCGAGGTCTGTGTTTGGCCAAACGTGGCTGTCCAACCTCAGTTGGTGCCAATCCCAACAGCCTGATGCTCCCAAAGCCTGTAAGGGCTGGGAGTCAACATCTCCAGTACCTACAGAGCTGGAGATGGAGGAGGATGGGGCCTCGGTTTCCCCTCTCTATCAGCAGGGTCCTGTGGCATCCTATGCCACAAAGCTTCCTCCTGGATGGGCAGACAGTTGCATTTCCAACACTTCCAATCGTATTCATTATTCTCTTGCCCAATTTTATTGTGTTTTCCCTCTGCCCCCATCCAGACTGTGCCGTGCTCCTGCAACTACCTCCCATCACCATGAGAGCGCTGTGCCTCGTCCTGCTGGGCCTGCCAGGTGAGTGCCAAGGCCCAAAGCAGCCCCATGCTTTGGGGGCACTGTAGGCTCCAAAATGTCTTGTCCTCCCCCTTCTCCCCCCTTCCCAGCGCTCCTGGTCCAGGGCCAGTACAGCAGGTTTGAGGGCATTACCTACCCGGAGCCGGTGCAATACTCCCAGTACGACCAGCAGGCAGGTGAGAGCCTTCATCCACCTCTTCTCCCTTGCAGCTTTGCTTTCCCTAATGCCTTTTCCCATGCTCTGCTCTGTTCCCTTTTCCACCCCAACCCCCCACGTTTCCCATTGCTCCCAGTCCCCCACGGGCTGTGTGATAACACAACATCCTTACGCTCCATTTTCTCCCTTTTTTTCCTCCAGAAATTCAGGATTACTACGACTACCACGGTGAGTGCAGCCCCGGGGCAGGTTTGGGGCTGGGGTCGCACATCCTCACTGTTCTATCCCCACAGATGTGACCCCACGCACCCCAGAGGAGCAGTTTCGCTTCCAATCCCAGCAGCAATCCCAGCAGGAAGTTGTGCCAGCACCGACCATGGGTGGGTGCAAAACAGCGACCACAACCCCCCCCCTTCCCCCTTCCAGCACTGCCCCGACCCTAAAACCTGACTGGGGGACAGCAGGATGCTCCCTATGCCCAACCCCAAAGCTTTGTTCTTCCTCCCATCAGCTGCTGCCCCTGAGACTGAGCCCACAGAGCCCGGACCTCTGGGTAAGTGTGGCTTTCATCACTCTCCTAACACAAATATGGTGCAGCTTGGGTCTCTTCCTCCACCCATGCATCCCCCCCCATGGTTTCATCCTTCCTCCGGGGGGAGGAGGGTGGTAGGGAACAATGCAATGCTGAACACATCCCCAGTGCTCATGGATTTTTCTCCCCTATCTAAACCTGCTTGCATTTTTGGAGCAAAACAACACGTCACCAGCTCTTGCTCTCATTGCAGACTGCCGGGAGGAGCAGTACCCCTGCACCAGGCTCTACTCCGTCCACAAGCCCTGCAAGCAGTGCCTGAACGAGATCTGCTTCTACAGGCAAGCACAGAGGCTGTCTCCCTCCCCCTCCCCCCCAAAAAATCCTCATTGGCACATTCAGGTTTGTTTTTTAACCCCAAACCATCCTTCACCCCGCAGCCTCCGCCGGGTCTACGTGATCAACAAGGAGATCTGCGTCCGCACCGTGTGCGCCCACGAAGAGCTGCTGAGGGGTAAGGACCCATCCATCAGCTCGGGGACACCCCCCTCCCCATCCCCCCCATCGTTGGGTACCACCAAAGATGGTTAAGCACAGCAAAGCCACGCTCCGCGTTCCCAGTCGCCACCAGTTTAGGTGCAGCGGGCGGCTGCTGGAAGAGCGTTGTGTTTCCATCTCCCTGCAGCCGACCTGTGCCGTGACAAGTTCTCCAAGTGTGGTGTGATGGCCACCAGTGGGCTCTGCCAGACCGTGGTCACCTCCTGTGCCCGCAGCTGCGGGGGTTGCTGAAGCCCCCACCTCGCCGGGACGCAGCCCGGCTCCTCCACCTGGTGCTATAAAAGAACCGTGCATGAAAGGCCAAAGAAAAAAGTCCGGTTTGGTGCACATAAAAATAAATAAGGGTTGGGGGATGGGGTTGGGGGGGGGGGGTGTTATTATTTTTATTACTTTTGTTATTATATTGTAAGTCGGGGAGGGGGGGGAGGTTGTTTGCTGCGTAGAGTATCCAAGAGAAAAAGCGTAAGGGTTGCTGCGGCTCCTGTCTCTTTCTTTTTTGGGTTTCCCATTGGGTTGGGGTCATTGGTGATGCTCCTTGAATAGAGCAGAGCTGGGCTGTAGGATCTGGGAGTCTGTGGGCTCTTTGGGGATTTGCACAGTTGAAATAACACAGCATCATCAGGGGCAGTTTTGGTTTTTCCTATGAGAAAGGGTGCAGCTATGGGCTTTGGGGTGGCTGTCCCCAATTCCCACATGGGGAATGGCACGCATGCCATCTATGCAGTGGTCTGATGTTGAATTGAGGGCAGTTTGGGGGTTCTCTGAATGGAAAGGAGGGGATTGCTTTACTACATTCAATCTAGCTTGTGGTTTTCTCGGGATATAGCCATCTTCTATAGCGTGTGTGATATTAACATTAACAGCACATAGGTCACATAATAATGATGCTAATAAATGCCATGGGGCCTGATGGGCACCAATTTGAGCAGCTGGTTCCCAAACCCTCCACCCCAAACCCCAATAAGTGTCACTAGGTTGGCTTTCCATACGTTTAATGGAGGCTTAGAGGGGATGGGGCCACGTTGGGTTGGCCCATAGCACCGATATCAAACCAGCCTCCAAAAAGAGCAGTAGAAAAGAGAGGAACCCCCCTGTGCCACGTGGGATCCAGGCGTAGGGATGCTTACCCTGGTCAGCACCAGTCTGGGGAGCCCCAGTGCTCCCATCACATCCACGTGGGCTAAAAAACATCTTTCCACATATTGGTTATAGAAATGCCGTAGAAAAAGAAGGGGGGAAAAAAAACCAAGCAGTATCAAAAATAGTGGTGGCTCAGGGGGCGAAGTGCTGCTCTTGATCAAGAAAAACGAGTGGGATTTGGGAACGTTGAGCAGATTTTTGGTGCTGCTCTCAGCCCTAAATGCTGCGGGGGTGACGGCGAGACTCCTGTGCCCCCCAATGCTGTGCTGGTGGCTTCTGTGCAACCCCAGAGCTCTGCTCCAGCGCTGAGACCTGTGCCTGGGGTAGGGGGGAGGGAGAACAGAGGGATCACCCCAAAGAAAAACCCAACAGCATCCCCGTGCGTGCAGCAGCATCTCCACGCAGCGGGATGAGCCCCGAAACAGCCCAGCTCCACCACCGTGCAACCTAAGGTGCAGGCAGCACCCCGGGGCCACCCGCCTGCAGCACTTGAATGCGTCGCTGTGCCTCTGCCAGCTGCTGCTCCGACGTGCCCAGAGAGCGGTCCAGGCGGCCCTTCTGCAGAGCCAACCTCAGTGAGGCTTCGTGCGTCTTCAGCTTCTCCCTCTCCACCTGTGTGAGGATGCAAACTGTTGCACGCCTTGCTCCGGTGCACAACACACACACATACATGCATGCACACGTGCACTGTTGCAAGCATTGCCCCCAGTGCACAATATATGTGTAGATGCATGCATGTGTGCTGTTGCTGCATGCCTTACTCCAGTGCACAAAATACACACATGCATGCTGTGCATCACTGCACACCTTGCTGCAATGCACTCTCTCTCTATACACATGCATACATGCATCTGCATGTTCTGTTGCACTTGCTCCTTGCTCTGTGCACTATACATACATACACATGTATTCACGTGTGCATGCTGTGCTTTGTTGTACACCTTGCTCCTCTGTGCACAGCAAACACATAAACACATGTTTGCACAGCAGAGAGGCGTGCATCATTTACGTCACGCGTGGAACAACGACACTGCAGTTTTATGGCTCCAGCATTAAGGCTGCACATCAGTGCCCACCCAAGGGTGCAGGGCAGGGTGGTGGGTGCTCACCTTCTCCAGGGTTCTTTTCAGGGCACTGTTGTCCTTTTCGAGGCGCAGGGCGCAGCGCTCAGCCTCACGCCGCTCAGCTTCCAGCTGGGTCACAGCACGCTGCAGGCTGCCCACGCGCTCCTGCAGCCCCCGCTGCTCTGCCCTCAGCCCCCCCAGCACCGCCGCCTCCTCCTCGTCCTGCTGCTGCTGTGTCTGCAATGGGAGCAAGGCTGTAGGGTGCTGCATGGAGTTATAGGGTGATATGGTGTGGTGCGGGGCTATAGGTTGCTGCACAGGGTGATAGGGTGATGCACAGGGTGATAGGGTGATGCATGGGGCAGGAAGGTGCTGTGTGGGCACTAGGGTGATGCATAGGGTAATAGGATGCTGCGTGGGGTAATGGTGCTGCAAGGGGTGGTAGGGTATTGCACAGGGTGAGAGGGCGATGCATGGGGCAACAGGGTGATGCATAGGGTAATAGGGTGATACACGGGGCAGTAGGGTGATGCACATGATAACTGGGTGCTAGAAGGGGTGTAGGGTACTGCACAGGGTAAGAAGGTGATGCATGGGGCAGTAAGGTGATGCGCAGGGTGATGGTGCTGCAAGGGGTGCAGAGTACTGTACAGGATAATAGGGTGATGCATAGGGCATTAGGGTGATGCATAGGGTAACTGGGTGCTGGATGGGCAACAGGGTGATGCATAGGGTAACTGGGTGCTGGATGGGCAACAGGGTGATGCATAGGGTAACTGGGTGCTGGATGGGGTGGTAGGGTACTGCACAGGGTAATAGGGTGATGCATGGGGCATTAGGGTGATGCATAGGGTAACTGGGTGCTGGAAGGGGTGCAGGGTACTGCACAGAGTAATAGGGAAGTGCATGGGGCAACAGGGTGCTGCACAGCAGAGTAAAAAGAGCTGCATGGGGGAGCTGTGTGGGTCACAGGACAGCTGCTGTTGCTCTCCCACCTCCTGCAGCTGCTGGACCTGCGCCTCCAGCTCCTCTCTGCGCAGCTCCAGCACCGCACGCTCCTCCTGCAGCGCCCGCAGCTGCTCCCGCAGCACCCCGCGCTCCTCACGTGCAGCATCCAGCATCTCCTGCGTGGGGACGTGCATGGTGACACAAGGCCACATGGGTCCCCACTGCACCCCGAGGTGCTCCTGCACACCTGCAGCGCCCGGTGGTCGAGCTCGCCCGCAGCCAAAGCAGTCTGCAGCTTCTGCAGTCGCTGCTGCAGGGCTGTGCTGGTGTTGGCCCCCGCTGTGCCCTGTGCATGGTCCTTGGCTGCCAGCAGTGCACTCAGCTTCTCCTGGAAGAGACAGAGCAGTGCGTGCAAGCTGGTTTCAGGCGTGAAACCAGCATGAATGCAAGGTTTCAGTCTGCGCGCGCATGCAAGCAGCACTCATGCAGTTTGTGTACAAGTTTGCAAGCGCCTTGTGGCCAGTTTGTGTGCCAGCCTGCGAGCAGCTTACATCCAGTTTGTGTGCATTTTGTATGCAAGACTCCAGGCAGCTTGTAGGCAGCTTGTAGGCAGCTTGCCAGAAGCTTACACTTGCTTTTCATGGAAGCTTGCACGTGTAAGCTTGTAAGAAGCATACATGCAGTTTTTGCACATCTTGCATTCAACCTCCCTTGCGCCTCTCATGCACTTTAATGCAACATGCTTGCAATCTGTGCACATCTTGCACGCAGCTTGTATGCAAGGCAGCAGAAAGGCTGCTCAGGGAGGGAGAGGAGGGTTTTTCCCCCCCATGCCCACCTGGGCAGCCCGGCGCTCGCCCTCAGCAGCGTGCAAGCTGCGTTCCAGCGCTGACACCTTCTCGAGCAGCAGCCGGCGCTCGCCCTCACCCTGCTGCAGCATCTCCTCCTGCAGCAGCAGTGCTGCCTGCTTGCCTTCGGAGCCCCGCCACCCTGCCACAGCCAGAGCGGGGTTTGCAAACCTCTGTGCTTTCGAGGCATGCACTGGGGTTTCGGGGGCATGCACAAGGAGGGGGCTGACTGCTCGTACTGGGGTTGTCCCGGTTCCAGGGGTGTAGAGGTTTATTTGCTCCTATGGGGTTTCTTTTATGTTTCTATTATGATCTGGGGGAAACGTGCAGCACTTGAGTGCAGCACCATCACCTCACCCCACAATCTGTCACCCTCACAGCCCCACAACGTGCCCACATCCTGAGCAGCCACACACTACAGGGAGGCAGCGATGCTCCTGTGCAGCACCCAACTGAGGGAAACCCACCCCATAGCTGCCCCATCACCTTCCTTGCTCTCAGCCAATCTCTTCTGCAGCTGCAGTGCTCTGTCTCGCTGCGCTTCTGCCTCAGCCAGCTGCTTGCTCAGGCTGCACACCCGCACCTGCAGCTCGTCCTGGGGGAGAAAATGGGGTGAGAAAGGCATATGTTGGGGATGCACACCTTGGGGAGGGGGTGAGGGGCATACCTTATCCCGCTGGGCATCCTGCAGCTGGCGCAGGAAATCCTGCAGGGCTGTACGAACTGCCTCGGGGTCAGCTGCTGCACTGGGGTCTGGGGGTGAGCAGGGGGTGCGTGTCGCCTTCCTGGGTCCAGCTGGAAGAGAGGGGACAGGGCAGGATGGCAGGAGACAAAGTGGGACAAGGACAGGGTGGGGTGAGAGGGATGAGGTGGAATGAGGAGGGATTGGAAGGGATAGAGTGGGATGAGAGGGATGGGGAGGGTCAGGAAGGGATAGGGCATGGGAAGGATAGTGGGATGAGAGGGACAGGGTGACATGAGAGAGAGTTGCACAGGAGGGACAGGAAGATGCATGATGGACACAGCTACAGGAGGGGACAAAATAGGACAAGGGGGAACAGAATGGATTGGGAAGAGGCAGGGTGGCACGAGAAGGATGCACAGCTGGATAGAGCACCCAACACCCAGCCCAGTGCCCCCCACACCCTGTGCCATCCTCACCCTTGCCTGGAGATCCTCCATGTGCCCGTCCAACACCGACGGTGCAGCGCAGGGCTGAGCTCAGCCCACTCAGCCTCATCTCAGCATCACGCCGTCGCTCCTCACCCCGTGCCAGCTCAGCTTCCAGCCCTTGTGCCCGACCCTCGGCTGCGCTCAGCTTCAAGCTCAGCTCTGCTGCCTCACT